CAGTGGCTCCGGTATGACGTCATGGGCTTCCAGCCCCTTGATCGAGGTTCTTAAACTTATCCCCCCACCCCATCCCCATACGGGACTGGGTCACGTGGTGTTGCCCTTTCCCCTCCTTTCTACCCCTGGGAGCCTTGCTTGGAAGTTAATTTGAGTTCGGAGTGCAGTTCTGGTTATGGATCCATAGGGCCTTGCTCGCGGCGCCGAGCCAGCCAGAGCGACTGTCAAATTCCTGTTCGGCTGGGAGTCCAAATTTGGTTTCAGCAAGTACTGGGCTGGTTCGCGGCCGGCGAGATCGCCCGCGGTCGCCCGTCGTTGGGTTTGTAGTACGGCGGCAACTCGTACCAGTTTGGTTAAATCTGTTTTTATAATTTATATTGTGTATTTAATTTAGACTCAGCCTGTGGCCCGGCTATAATGTAGTAGTTATGTTTTCATGCAACCAAGGCAAATTGTTGCGCCAGTAAATATGGGCCATTCTGCCCGAGTTAGATGCCGCTGTGTGCGAGCATGTAAATGTGCAGTTAGTTCAGTTGTTCTGTTTAATTTCTGTTGTGTTTATTAAATTCTGTTATTTGTTTATATATTGATTGCCATCATTTGTAACTAGATTTACTTCGCTACTAGCTTGGATCCCTTACACTAACTTAGGGAGCGTGCGAGCACAGCACGAGAGCCATATGACGGATCAACGTTTCCCCCTCCGATTGAGGAAGGGTAGACGGAGCCGAAAGGTGCCAGAGAGTGACGGTGCTGTGGTAGCAGACCGTAAGACGGTACAAGTGGTACATATAGTACCAGAGCGGACAGACGGCGTAAATGGTAGCAGAGCGAGAACGGCTCAAGTGGTAGCAGAGCGTAATCGGCTCAAGTTTCAATGATTCAAACCCAATAATCTCAGTGAAAAATTGCCTCCACTCAAGCTTTTCCTATGTTGAGAAATTAAATGAAGAAGAACTCTTAAATCAAGGAACATTACGTGAGGTTTCGCTGTGACATGAATCTGTTTGTCTGGATTAAGCTACTGTGAGCATGTTCTGAATTGTTACATGGGCCACAAAAATATTCTGAAGCTGATTCTAGTTGAACTTGCTACTGCAAAATTGAAAAGGTATAAATTGTCAGGTAGTGATCAAATTCCAGCAGAATTTATTCAAGAAGGAGGTGAAATATTAGGGTCTAAGATCCATAAGGTAATTGCTTATATTTGGCATGAGGAAAAAACTGCCTGATATGTGGAAGGAGTCTATTATTGTACCAGTTCACAAGAAGGGTGATAAAACGGACTACAGTAATTATTGCGGGATATCACTGCTATTAACTTCACACAAAATTTTATCCAATATTCTTCTCTCAAGGCAAAGTCCATATATAGATGAAAATATCGGGGATCATTAGTATGGGTTTCAACATAACAGATCAACTTCTGATCAGACCTTTTGCATTAGTCAGATACTGGAGAAAAAATGGGAGTACAACGAGACAGTACATCAGCTATTCATAGACTTCAAGAAAGTCTATGACTCAGTTAGGAGGGAAGTATCGTACAATATTCTGATAGAGTTTGGGGTACCCATGAAATTTGTTAGGCTAATTAAAATGTGTTAAACAAAACATATACTAAATTCTGTGTAAGTAAAACTTCCTATCCAGAGTGGTCTAAAACAAGATGCTTTATCACCACTCCTTTCATTCTTTGCTTTAGAATATGCCATTAGGAAGGTCCATGAAAACCAGGTGGGACTGAAATTAAACGGGACACATCAGCTGTTGGTCTATGCCGATGATGTGAATCTACTGGGTGATAACAGATACCATAAAGAAAAACACAAATTTTAATTGACGCAAGTAAGGAGATTGGTCTAGAAGTAAACACAGAGAAAACTAAGTATGTGTTGCTGACTCATCACCAAAACTGAGGGCAAAATCATGATATTGTAATGCGTTTCGTTACTGAAGACGCCATTCGGGTTGTTAACTGGTTTATTCAACAACCTACAAGTAACGGCTACAATTAATTATCACACAGTTGCGGGGTTTCACACTTTATAACCCTAATCGCATTAATCTGTTACACTGTTGCGGGGTTTCACGATTTATAACCTTATTCGCAAATCAGTTCACTCTGCCTTCAGTAGTCTACACGTTTACAGTATGGGAGCTATGTAAGTGTCCCTGTATCACACACTCCCAATTACTCAACTACACACATGTCCAGTTCTTCTTTCCGCGAACTGAGAACCTTGTTGATCACACACTTTCAATTAATTCTCAGTTACACACACGTCTGGTACTTCTTTCCGCGATGGCTGTTATATTTCAACTCGACTCGCAGGCTGCTGCCTTGAGAACTGTTGATAACACACTTGCTCGACTACTACTGAACTCGCCGACGGCCACATTACAACTCACTCACGCTTACTGCTCAGCTGGCTTTTATTCCGTTCGCTGTTGCCTGTTGCCCGCATCAACATCGTTACGTGCCACATAACAGTGTCTGCGTATAGCCTAGCAACGCTATTACCTCACGCTGTCTTACGTCACCGCTGTTGACTTGCATTGCATAGTTACCAGGACGCTGGGACTCGGCTAACTTCGGCTCCGCTCGCCGCGTCAGCTCCAGGGGGGGGGGGTCCAGCTAGCACGACACGTCACAATATAAAGATAGAAAGCAGATGTTTTGAAGTGGCACAATTCAGATATTTGGGAACAACAATAACAGATTGAAACCTGATTCAGGAGGAAATTAAGAGGAGACTGAACTCGGGTAATGCTTACTGCCATTCAGTCCAGAACCTTTTGTCTTCTAGTCTGCTGTCCAAAAACAAAAATTAGAATATACAAAACTATAATTTTGCCTGTGGTTCTGTATGGGTGTGAAACTTGGTCTCTGACATTAAGGGAAGAACACAGACTGAGGATGTCTGAGAATATTTGGACCAAAGAGAGATGAAGTGACAAAAGGTTTGAGAAACTGCATAATGAGAAGCTTCATAACTTGTACTCTTCTCCAAGTATAATTTGAATGATCAAGTTAAGGCATATGACATGGGCAGGGCATGTAGCATGAATGGGGGAGAAGAGGGATGCATATAGGATATTGGTGGGAAAGCCAGAAGGAAAGAGACCATTGGGAAGACCAAGGCGCAGGTGGGTGGAAAATATTAAAATGGATCTTAGAGATACAGGATGGGATGTTATGGACTGGACTGATCTGGAGTTGGTGCTCCTGGGGGACGTTTGCAGGCAGAATGGTTAGAACAAGCGGCAGATCCACAGAGTTCTCAACCGTTGTCCAAACATCAGTCAGCCTGACGATAAACTGGGCTCAGTTGCCTTCCTGCCCTGTGTCGGGACTATAATCAACCGAATCAGCAGTGCTGTCCCAGCACAACATCAAATCAGTGGACTTGACTCCAAAGAAATTATCTAGTTTCCTCTGGCTAGTAAAAGATAGCCTGGGACTAAGGACACTGGGTGTATACAGAATCCCCTGTGAGTGCGGCAAGGTCTACACTGGGCAGATGGGCCGTTTGGTGGACACAAGGTTGAAGGAGCATTAGCAGCACATCCGTCTCGAACATCCAGACAAGTCAGCTGTAGCTGAACACAGCATCGATTTGGGACACCACATGCAGCTTCAGAATACCTCCATCCTCGCCACCAAGACTCGATATATGGATTGCATCATTAGGAAGGCCATTGAGATTGAACTCCATCCTGACAATATGGACAGAGAGGTGGGTTTACTCTCAGCAAGTGATGGAAGCCANCACTGCCTGTTAAAATTTAAAATCACCAGTCTTTCTAATTGTATAAAATGTTTGTTAACCTACACACGTTAATTTTGATTTCTAATTAGCACTTTTTTAAAACTTTAATTCAAGTTAAAATATCTATAAAATTTCTGTTCTTTTCCTTTTTCAAATTTTAAAATTACAATTTTCCTCAGGGTACATGCCCTATGTCTAAGTGCTGCAGCGGCCACTCCTTGTTTATCGTTGTTCAGGTATTGTTCTGTGTAGGCTCTCTCTGTGTGTGTGTCGCTGCTTATCTTTAATACGTGTGCTGTCTGGTGTATTGTGTACACCAGACACCAGACAGCACACGTATTAAAGATAAGCAGCGACACACACACAGAGAGAGCCTACACAGAACAATACCTGAACAACGATAAACAAGGAGTGGCCGCTGCAGCACTTAGACATAGGGCATGTACCCTGAGGAAAATTGTAATTTTAAAATTTGAAAAAGGAAAAGAACAGAAATTTTATAGATATTTTAACTTGAATTAAAGTTTTAAAAAAGTGCTAATTAGAAATCAAAATTAACGTGTGTAGGTTAACAAACATTTTATACAATTAGAAAGACTGGTGATTTTAAATTTTAACAGGCAGTGTAACAGCTACATAAGAATACACGTGATGATGGCCATTTAGGGCCGAAACATGTAGTGTGGAGTGAAGGGAAAGAAGAAAGAACTAAATTAAATTGTTACACTTAAGACGGTGTTTATCTTATATACAATATTCTATACCTGCTCTGGCTGGCTACCTGCAGGCCAATCTCCACAGACCCTTCCCCTCTCCTCTCTACTGACTTCCCATGTAGCCCCTCTCCCTTCTCTTCCTGCTCTTATACAGCTGGGTTTATTCAACTCGACATTAGTCTGTCAGCATACTGGTTCCTCGCTCGAGGATTTTCTCTTTTCTAGTACCCTGAAAATGGAGGTGATACATTCCTCCAAAATGTCGGTTAACACAATATCTACATGGCAGCACATTCCAGAACATGGCTTTCTTCATAGTCACTGCCGTGAAAACCTCAAATCTTACATGGATTGATCTGGCTCAGGATAGGGACCAGTGGACGACTCTTGTGAACATGGTAATAAACCTTCAGGTTCCATAAAATTCCGGGAAGTTCTTGAGCAGCTGCACAATTGACAGCTTCTCAAGAAGAGCTTAGTTCCATGAATGAGTGAGAGAGTGATGGCTCACCTCAGGTTCAGCTGATGGTATAAAAACCTCATCACTTCTCAAGCCAACAGAATCTTCTTCATTCACAGCATCCACATCATTCTCTTCTTTGAATGTATCAATAATTTCCTGCAAAGTTATGAATAAAAGAAATGTCCATCAGATAATGCAGTCTAGGTTTCTAATGCACATGAAAACAGCAGACACCATGTAGAAATGGCTAATTCCACAACCAAGCTTCTAACACTCCAATATCATAAATACAGGCCCCCCAGAACCGGGGTGCCCAGAAACGAGCACCAAATACTTCATGATAAAGGAAATGTGTCAGTTCATTTTTTGGAAAATGAGAAATGTGACCATAGGGAAAACCTGAACTAGCAGTTTTGATGGGAGTAAACATCTTCCAGCAGTCATATCAAAGCACACAGTCTGACAAGCATGCTTGTCTGGTTTAACACCCATGTACCCAACTGTTTCCAGATGTTCCAAGTCTTTACAGTAAGCTTCATAGTTACTGAAACACTATAAATAAGAAGTCACTTCAACATGACACAGTTAAAAGTAACTGTTCTCCTCCTGCAGCCAAGACTAGTAACTCTTCATTCACACACAATACTGCTGTCCGCAATGCAACAAGAAGTCACTTCAACATGACACAGTTAAAGGTAACTGTTCTCCTCCTGCAGCCAAGACTAGTAACTCTTCATTCACACACAATACTCCTGTCCGCAATGCAACAATGAGTTGCATCCTGTTGAATTAATAAAGTCTTCACTCACATACTAGAACACAGTAATGCAACAGTATGCTTAAATGCTATATTAATAGTAGTAACAATGGAACACAGCACACATTCAACAAGCTGCACCACTTGAACTGATTATTCAATGTCAAACACAGTAAAGAAAATTATTAAAATGAACAGTGAAGTTGTATGAGCTGCTGAGGCATTGGCCACTGCACTGTCGAATTCAAGATACTTCCAAAGTATTAAACTGCTCTGATAGATGAGACCCATGAGATACACTGATCAGGAGAGCCAGTGCTCAGAAAATGTACTTGAACTTCGATTCAGAAGCTGGAAGTATGGAAAGTTGTGAAATTCTTGACTAAGCTGAATTTAAGGATCAAGCCAATAATCCATTAACATAAAAACAAATCTGCAATAAGCTCGGTACAGCTGATTACATGCCATTACACAAATGTGAACGTTTTCATCTCATTATCATCTAGGCAAAAATCAACATTTACATTTTTGTTAATATTCACAGCACCTTACTGTAATGTGTTTTTCTTATATCTGACGGAAATCATGATACATTTTAGGAGTATTATCTTCTGCGATATAAACCTGTGTACTCCATTGAAAGTCAACCAACATTTCGGAGGAACATATCGCTTCCATCTTCATGTGCCTGCCATCTCCTTTCATGCTGGTATGAATATGTTCTGAAACATCTGTTGACTTTTAACAGACTATAGGGGTTATGTCCCACAAGACAGTACCCTTCAAAACAACCACTTCACTACATGTAAAAAATGATACTTAACATAACAGGATGTTAACTTATTACTGTAAGGCAATAAACAGCTAGTGAAAAATATTCCGTAACAACTACATCTTCAACTGTAGTCACTCTAACAATCTGCAGAACATCTAATATGAGAGATTGATTGATTGATTGATTTATTTATTTAACATCCATAACTGTTACATTATGTACAATTGGACAAGTCAGTTTTATAAAAAACTTAAACAGTGGCAACTATTTATTTACAACCGATACAAAACAGATACATGTTTTGAAGTTTTACTGTCCTTCAATGTAGTCACCAGCATTGTGTACAACCCGTTGCCAGCGATGTGGAAGTCGTAGGATACCTTTAGCAGCGCCTGTTGTGTTGACAGTTCGAATGGAGCGGTCTACTGCCTGAAGAATCTCTGGAACAGTTCTGAAGCAAATGCCACGAAGTGGTTCCTTCATCTTAGGAATCAAGTCGAAGTCACAAGGGCTTAAGTCCGGTGAGTATGGTGGATGGTACAGCACATCCCAGCCCCACAGATCGAACAAATCAGCCACAGCTTGTGCTGCATGCGGCCGAGCATTGTCCTGCCAAATGATGGGTGGGTTCTGCAGAAAGTGTCACCGCTTCTTTCTCAAAGCTTGTCGCAGGTTGTGTTCCAAAAATGAACAGTAATACTGCGCATTGATGGTCTGCTGTCAGGGATTGGTATGCGTTAGGATAACACCATCACAGTTGTACACAAGAGTCATCATAACTTTCACACTGCTGGGGTTCTGACAAACTTTTGATTTTCATGGTGACCCGTAATGATGCAATTCATTCGATTGGCGTTTCATTTGTGGCTCATACAATTTGGCCCATGTCTCATCCAGCATAATGATACGGCATAAGAAAGCTTCTCCTTCACGCTCATAGTGCTCCAAGTGGTCATGAGCAGCGTTGTATCGTAGCCATTTCTGTCAAATAATGCAGAACCCATCGTGATGCAATTTTTCTCATGCCCAGGCATTCCTTCAGAATGTGAAGCACAGTCGTATGCATTAATCCTGTCTCTCAGGCCAGCTCACAAATCGTATGGCATCAATCACTCTCCAGTAATGCGGAAAGAGCATACACGTCTTCTTCACTGACACTAGGATGACCTGGCTGATGCATGTCTGACACATTCTGGCGTCCCTCGTTGAAGGCTTTTACCCACCTTGCCACTGTTCTGTAAGGCAATGCAGATTCCCCGCAAGCCTCTTGAAGGCCTTGATGACACTGTCGTGCTGTGCGGCCTCTGGCACATTCAACCTTTATCCAACTCTGTTGTTCCTGTTTCGAAAACATCGTGACAACACTACATTAGACCGCCAGCTATCATGAAGCTCTGTTCCTCTCATCACTGCGCATGCACGTGATGTGGGAAGGGAGAGTTCATTTGCTCTGAGGTAAGGTAGGTATGTAACTAATGTGTGGTATAAGCAACATTATTTGGTTCCGTTGCACGGTGTCTCTACAGCAGTTCCGACTCTCGTACATCCTACCCTTAGTTAAAAATAAAATTTACTAAGGATACAATATATTTCAAAATAAGTGGGCATAACATGATCCATTTAGCCTTTCATATCAATTACCATACTTTGGTATTCACAAAGTTGAAACAGGATGCAGAGACAGCAAACTTTACCACTTAATGTGTTTGGCAATGGACATACATCATAAAACTGACCTCATTTTCCGTCTTCATTAACTGGAAGTTTATTACCACAGGTTCCTCATCCTGTTTTACATCAGTCACCTGATATTCACTGTGGGCTGATGATCGGAATGCCCGTCCACCTGGATCAGGTTCAGGTTTTATGAAATCCATGTTATGCTGTGAAACCACAATATGCCCATTAATAACCAGGGCACAGCTCCTCTACCCTTTGACAAACTGTACCAGTCTGCCCACAGTGTATCTCACACATTCTTCTTTGTATGGGAAATACAAAACTAACAAAATGAGACCAGCTGCATGCTGCAGTGTTCAGGCCCAAAATAGTAACTTAGGAAATACGTTAACTTTGTCCAACTGAAGTCTAAGTATTCAGTCCGGCTCTGCAAATATGTGTATTAAGAGGTTCACAATATGAAAATGAATGTATGGTCAAATTATTGAATGGTGTGCAACAAATTTATTCAGTAATCTGTTTCAGTCTGTCTTGATTCAATACAAAGATATATATGTATGTAAACAACTTATTGACTCATATGGAAAAATTCTGTGGTCTGTTGTTTCTGAAAATATCAAGCACTTCTCGTCTGTCTGAGGCAGCATCTTTCCTGTCCACCCTGCATCCTAATGTGTATAATGCACTGTGATAGTGTAAGGCCTACTGGACATATATAAAAAAAGGAACACAACTATTTACTTACATCTGTGACCCCTGTGGTACAAGAATATAATTTACACACACACATTCTTGTGGTATTCTATCCCTCAAACCTGAAGCGTTATCAACATCTGAAATACAGCCACATCCAGGCCAAGTGTACGTTTGACATAACCAGTTTCAGTTGTAGTTGTAAAGCACATTGTAAAATTAATTACATTACTCAAGCCTTGAAGTTTAAATGAACAAATTTATCTACAAAAGAAAACAATTCAGTAAATAGAGAGAATATTAGAGATACTTTCTGTTACAACCAGCAAGGTCTGGGAATTTTACTATGCACTTTTTGCAAATTTCAACTTTCCTCCTTCTGCCAGATTTCAATTGCAGCAGTCCTTATTACAATAAGTACAATAGGTACGTTACCTGAGCACCATTGCACCAGACTTTTTTTTTATTTTGGAGACATACATTCTGACTACATTATACTCAGCAATCACAAGGTATTTTGTGGTTATGAACAGACACAATCGGAAACATACCTTGATGAGGTCCTGTCTACTCATTCCATTAGGATTACATATCTATCAACTTCACAAATTCCAGGCAATCAGTTTCCCAATATGTAACCCCAAGTGTCAATTCTTAAGAAGCCTATATTACCAGTTATGTCACCTGTTTACTTCATAATACTACTTTCAAATTCTGCAATAAGGTGACCATTTATTTATATCTGTACCTAACTTGTGGTTTCCTCTACTTTCACTAGATGCAGAAGTCTGAGTGCCCGTCCAGAAATTTTATGAAAATAAAGTTCTGCATATACATGCTGTATTTAAAATAGTGCAGATCTCCAGTCATAAAAGCAAAGCACACGTGAACATAAACGGAACGACAGCACAAGTAACTAAAACAAATACATGTCCCTTCCCTTGCCCCAATCAAAACCATGTGTATGCAGTAATAGCAAATCAGTGTCCCACATACACAGGAGATCAACAACACACTAACCAATAACAGAATGTTCATTGCACCATCACGGTAAAAAACAGTTAACTAACGATTCAATCTTCCAATAATTCTGGGTTATAATACAAAAGTGATTTCTTGTGTCTGCAAAATTGTTATACACAGGAAACGAAAAAGTACGAATAACGAAAACGCTCATTAATAAAATCTGTATACAATCTCTACAGGATAATTGGGCAATAATACTATACAATCTCCCCATATGTAATATACTGGCCAGTGTAGGAAGAAATAACAGTAAAATAGAAAGGTGAATGTACACATGTATTACTATCTGACGTTGGCCAAAAAGGACCGAAACATATTATCGTAGTTATACACACTATTGTGGTGCCTGAACAAATGATAAGTTCCCCAGTAACTTAATCGGTTTACAAGCCATTAAGAGACCGCACCTGCCGTGGCTGCGACAAAGATACAAACACACAAATTTATATTAGCTTCACCTGCCTCCAACAGATCATGGCGGATAACACATTTTGCACAGTGATCCTACACGGATTATAGATACCGAAATCAACGTTAATGTTATAAACTTGTGGATGAACAGAGAATACTAATTTTTATTAAAAATATGTATATATAAATGGCCTAGGCAATGCTCATCCGGCCCATTGTAATCTTATTCTCCCCTTATCGGTTACCCCCACGATTTTTTAATACATCTCTTAACTCATATTAATATTATGTACATTTACTTCTTTTTCCGATTTCTTTTAAATTAACTTAGAAATGTTATTTATGGCGTAACAGGCGCTTCGCACAAATCTTTTCTCTTCTAGGCTTACGAGCTCCGTAATTGACCTTCGATATTCTTTTTTGCTTTTCTGACAAAATGTCCAGCATTGTTGCCCTTTGGTCCTCAAACTTAGAATACATGATTCACCATTTGCAGCCCGTCACCACATTCACAATCAACCGCGGGCTTAATCTATTTAAACTTGCTTAAAGACTCGAGTGGCCCTGCCTCATGGACACGAAGTCAGGACAGTTCATTTTTATTTCGCGGAACCACTGAGACGAGCCACTCCTGTAATACCCTTCAAAATAGCTTTCTCCTTTGTCCCTTTCGGTGTTTTGACAGCAAGTGTGAAGTTTCGCTTTTTCTGCCTTTTTCCACTGGGCTTTGAGATCTGTCACTGGCAATAAGAATTGATTATCTCTACCGATCTCTACCTTCTTTGATTGTGCATTGCCTCCGAGTCAGTCTCATTTTCAGATTACTGAGTATTACACGTCACGACATCAAAAGGGGGGGGGGGTTGGAAAGTACCTGAACCAAGTACACGCAAGTAACTCTAATTATTCACAAAGACTTTTGCATTAATGCTTATCAACCCCTAAATATTTTAACTACAGACGAGCGAACCAAAAACTTGCATAAAGAAGTGAGGAGCATGCGCAGGCACCATCTGCGTTGATATCTAGTTCCATCTATGAGCAGCATTCACATTGATCTCCCACTGTGCCAATCACTCCAATCACTAGTCACCCATCGTAATTGCCTCTGACCCAATTTGATCCAGTCACGCAAAATGTAAATGCTTCTGGTTGGGAACTTTGGAGACTTGGACACATCAATCACTGCAGCCAGCTCCAGCGCTCTAATGGCGACAGGTAAGGACCACTGCACTCTAAGATACCCTAAGCTTTGAATTATACAGCAATACCTCGCATAGTCCGGCTTGACTATAGTCCAATTTGAAAATTTCAAAACAAATTAAATTTTAATTGAGCAAAATAAAAATAAATTCTAAAAAATTAGTACACAAAATTATTTTTAATACATATATAATCGGTTTTTTTTCTTTATACAGTCAAGTCACTTTTTGTGGGGTTTATTTCTATGTCGTTTTAAAGTTATGCGATGCGATGCGATACATATTTCAGTTTTTGCCACGGCTCCCCCTTGTATATGTATGTACTTATTATGCTCGGGTCGTTCGTTCTTGACAGCTATCGCTGGAGAAGGTGGGGAGAGCACTACTTCAACAGAATTTTGGAAGAGCTACAACATCAGAAACGTTATCGAAAATATAGGCGAAGTATGGCATGAATTAACGGCAAGCAATATGAGGGCAGTATGGAAACATATCATTCCACACTGTGCAAATGATTTCGTTGCTTTTGAAACCCATTTTGCTGAAGTCACTAATAACATAGTGGAAATTGGAAAGCAACTTGGTTTCAATGAGTTAGATTCCGTCAATGTAATTGAGTGCATCAAATCGAACACTAATGAACTTGATAATGAAACACTTATTAACATAGATGAACAACGGGAGGGCAACTTAGACAACGACGATCAAGACAACTGTGTTGAAGTGCCTGCACGAGAATTAACAGCTGAACAACTATAAAAAAATTATTGGAATGGTTGAAACCTTGTCAGAGCATATTATGGAAGCTGATCCCAATACTGAACGTAGCCTTACAATTCGCCGCACGATAAACAATGCAATTCGTCGCTACAAAGAAATGTATGAAGAGAAAAGGCCAAAGAAGAAAAATATTGCAATTTTTAGAGAATAAAAAATTAATTGCGAAAAACATGATTTTTTTAAAATTATTTCTAATAAAGGAATTTTAATATATTAATCGCGTTTTATTTATAGAAAAACGGAGATTTTTTTGAACCAATTATCATTCTTTTGTATGTATTTAGTTCCTTGATTGGTCTGGTTTCAAACAATCTGGGATATTGGCAGAACTGATTACCCAGACTATGCGAGGTATTGTCCCCAGAACACAGATGTGATCAAACAATCATCACTGTCCACATCATTCATTACTTATGAAACTGTACATAAATATACAAGTTGAGTATGAGAGGTGAGCCATAAAACTGGCCCTAACACAATGACCTTCAATGGTCTATTGTGCTTAATATACAAGTTACACAGAATATGTCACAAATGCTAATGTTTTTAGGGTAATTAAAAATATCTGAAAAGAACACACTATCGGTAATGTGATTTATAAGTGAATAATTTAATCAAATTTCAAATTTTTTATAATGGCAGCCTCTTGTACAGTAATGTGTTATTTTCAAATCTTCAAGACACCAGATTCTGGGACACACTGGTGGGCATAGTCTTAGACATTTAGTTATAGTAGCAGTAGTTAAGTCAGAAGAGAAATAAATGCTCGTTAAGTGTCGGACTATTTGCATTATTAGAACAAAAAAAAGATTCAAATCTGAAGAAGTATGTTAGTAAGGAAGCCCCACTAATTTCCTTTTTAATGTTCTTTCAGGAGGGTGCTGCAGCAAATATCTGGCAACAGCTGTTTGATGATTCCCTTGTCAACACATCTGCAGCTATTTGTTCATACTGTGGTTGGAGCAATAACCCAACTGTGGGATAGTTTCTAGATGCCCTGAAGACTAGCATCATCAGTGGACTTGCTCTTAGAGGTCTGTGTTAGACTAATTATGAAAATGATGCTATTTTTATGGATAACCTACAGTCATTGCTCAGGGCACCTGATGCTTTTTCATCAAATTCCTCCACAAGTCTTACCAAGGAAACCCTTGATGATGTTCCTGAGAGTTTGCATGTTGTGCTGCAGTACATGCTGGTGACATGGAAGTGTTCTCAGTAGCCTATTTCAGTTGTTCCATTGCCAGACAGGTGCCTTGTGGTGTCATACAGTGACACAGAACAGCCTTTCACATATCCTTCTGAGAAGCTGGTGGAGCCTATATTATATTTAAGCATCCTGTTGCACTCTATACAATAAATGACACAAATTCCGTCCCAAGTGCAAACAATATATATTATATGTCTTTGATCTTGTTCTTTCTACACTACATGTTTCGGCCTCTATCGGCCATCATCAGGTGTATACTCTTAACGTTGCTGCCACACTGAACTCGGTCTAAAATTTAACATTTAAAACACAATGTCACATTCTTCGTATTATCAATATCTACATCGTTGATATGTGTCTGGTATGTAGATTATGTTGCACACGTCAAATTTGATATTCTTGTAGTAGCACTTTAAAAAACTTTAGTTATGATGTTTTTA